CTCCTTACATTGGCATAGATTTGACCATAGGTTCCAAACCATATATCACATCATCAATTTCCGACGTCATGTTCACCCATGCAATTCTAGAGCTCGGGCTCAAGTGCATCTCCTTACATGGGCTGAACCTAAACCTTATGTCTACCCAATGCAATTCTAGAGCTCGGGCTCAAGTGCATCTCCTTACATTGGCATAGACCCCAATTTCTAAGCACTCGTTACGCCTAGAATTGAGATATCAATAATCTATTTTGGGACATCCATACGGACTGCCCACTCATGATCTTAGCATCATATTACATCAATTTAGTCACTTGAATCACAATCAAGTACATCAATTGCAATCAAATCCTCAGAGAAAATTCCTTAACAATTACAAACAATCATTAACTAGTATTTCAATACTATTAAGATTATTCATATCAATCATATATTCCATTTGTAAATCCCTACATATTTAGAGATATGTAGCAGCAACTTAATCATCCAATCTAATACATAAATAATCATTTATGTATCTACACAATTCACACATGAGTAAAAATGCCTATTTCACACAATAGTTCATTTAACTCCATTTTTATCAATATGATTCCAAATCATTTCTAATTTCATTCCTTATCTAGTATATCGATATTTCATCAATAATCAGTCATTATAATCCATGAAAAACATGATTTAGACATTTAGGTAATCTCATGCTTAACCTACAAGTTGTAAGCAACTAGATGTCGATCTCACCTTAATTGAGCTTTGAATTGTTCCTTCTCAACCCAATGCTCAAGATTCAGCCAAGGGAGTTTGAGAATTGATTCCTTGTTATAAATGGGTGTTAAACATCCTCCTCAAGGTGCTATCTCAACTCCTAACCGAAGACACGAAAACAATCCCTAGAACGGGTGTTTTTCGGCGAATTCGTTCCCTAACCTTTCAAGGTTTTGACTAGGTTAGTATCTAACCTTTTCATCAATGAAGTAACCTTATGATAACATTTTTATATACTTGAAATAGTGCATAATAGTTCTTCAATCATTTATATTATTTAGACAATAGAAAGAATTTTTTTTGGATTCAAACATACTTTGAATGCAAAAACGTATTCTGCGAGGTATCGTTTTCCTTCGATGATTTGGAGGTCTTAAACTGCTCCAATTGATGCAAAACGCACCTCTATAGATTCCTTATCTTGAGATATTTCTTTTGTCACCTCACACACCTTATTTGGATGAGTATTTCTCAAGATACGAACCAAATAGTGAACTCCACGAACTGGGAATTATCCCTGTGACCAACTCTCCTATCTCCCTCTCTTTTGATTGTGAGGCTCTCCCTTCTTTCTTATCCCTTTGAGTTCGAATGGGGGTGAGGGGGAGGTGTTTAAGAGTCCTCTCAATCATGCTAGGAGAGTATGTGGTGCACAAAAAGAGGGTAAGATGTTTGATTGCAATCAAACATGGGGTGGTCCTCCTCTTTTATTTCTTTTTTGTATTGTTTGAGCTCTCAGCTCAATAGGTCTGCCCCATTTATGTGTTCTAACTTATTCTCCTTGTTTTGCAGGTTCTAGGAAGGTGCGGGGCGCACTATTGTTTTTATCTTTTGTCATAAGATGTACTTTTTGTACTCATCCCAATTTATTTAGATCAAGTCAACCTTCTACATCATATTATTGATCTCTAATATGTGTAGGATGGTCCCAATAATTTATATGATGTACTCCCTCCGTCCCTTAAAGGTTTGCCATGTGTTGACCGGCACGTAGAATAATAAAGTAAAAACTGTGTGATAGAAATTTGTGCAGAGGAGAGAGAAATAACAGGAGCCACAAATTGATTGATTAAAAGGGAAAGTGGCAAAGTTTTTGGGACAACCAAAAAAGGAAAGTTGACAAAGTTGTAAGGGACGAAGGGAGTATAATCATAAAAGAAGACCCTACTTCCAATATTTAGCTTAATAATGCCAAAGATGGGACCATAGACATTTGTATTCTTCTCCAATCATTCTATCACTTATTTGTGACATTAGTATTCATATAGCTGGGCTACTAGCCGTGTGGGTTACCCTCCAGTGGGTCTAGGACGCCATTCTTGAATAATTGCTATTTTTAGCAGGTTAGACCCAAAATAACATTTGGGCTGCCCGACCGTTCTTACTTTGTATCGAGGGGTTATATATCTTTATTTAAGAATGTTGGGCCCCAATATCAATAAGATGGCCCAATTAATTATTCGGAAGTCCATTACTATTATACGAGCCCAAACAGTAATATGATTAATCACACGTTACGTAAAACTTTAATCGTTTTACAATTGTTCGATAATAGGGAAGTTCAATACATAAGCTTTGAAATTTAATTTGAATTTCAAGGACGTTCGAGTGCGGTGTCACATCAACAATAGAGAAGCAGATCATGGAGAGGGAGAGCGTGATAACGACCTCGCTCTCACTTTCGCTCCAAATCATTCACCTGATAAGAAACGATGCAAGCCGCCTACCGGAAAGACAAACTCTAGACGGAAGCTAGGGAAAAGAGCACTTATACGCTAAGAGCATCTCCAATGCAAAAATGTGAACTGTGCATACGTGGCATAAGAAATAGCCAATTAAAAAATAACAAATAGAATATCTCTCTCCTTCTTTCCACGGTCTTATATGTTTTTCGTAAGTTTTTCTTAACAATGTCAACCACAATGTCTACATCGAGAAACGTCAAAAATTTAATCATTTGTGTCTATCTCTCTCATGCCACATGTGCACCGTGCACATTGTATCATTGGAGATGCTCTAAGGACTAGGCTGTCTGGATCATCGTCAACATATTTCAATAGAATTTTATGAAATTACATTACAACAACATTAAGCTAGACCGACGCTAAATTTTAGGGATATTTACCTAAATAGGAGTAAATAAAAGGATAATTGCAACAATAGGGGTTTAAAGTTTAAATTCCCAAAATAGGACTAACTCTTCCTATTCTACCCTTTCCTTTGTCCTTGATAATAGGATTTTTAAACAATCATTATAAAATATAAAAAAAATCAAAAAAATTGTAAAAAAATAATTAAAAAATATATAGACCTCAACCACCACATCCGGTCGCCAGAAAAGATTGCCAAGTTGGGGAAAAAATGTCATCATGATGTCAATTTTGAAGAGAAAGCAAGAGAAAGCTGGATATTTTCAAAGAGTAAAAATGCCATCTTTATGGCATTTTCAGAGAAATTTGGCATTTTTTACACAAGATGGTATTTTTTCCGGCGACCGGAGTCGGTGGTGCTGGGAGGCAGAGGGCGCGTTGATAGTGACATACATATTTTTTAAATATTTTTTAGGTATTTTATTATATTTTTTGGACTTTTTTAAATTTTTTTAAATAATTTATTTATTATTTTTAATTTTTGTATTTTTTATTTTATTTTTTCACGTTTTCATTATTATTTTATAAATATTTTATTATTTTATATTTTTTTATAAATAAAATTATGATTTTCTTATTAATAAAATAAATCTATTGGAAATTATAGGAAGAGGGTAGAATGGAAAGAAGATATATATATATTAGTCCTATTTTGGGAATAAAAGAATTGTACTCCTAGTGTTGAATTTTGGGCTTATTTTACTCCTATTTAAGGCTAATACCCGTAAATTTTAAGGAGGTAAATGACATTATGAAATGTGAGTGTGTTTAATAAAAATGGGGGTGTGAATGCTATTTTCCCTATATTAAATTCACCCGAACTTTTAAAAGTGTATATTTTGGACCTTTGGTGGGCTATTTAGGGGTGGGCGCGGTCCGGAACGGTCCGATAAATTGGTAAAACCCGTAATGTATCCGTGTGGTTTTTAACGGTTCGGTACGATCCTGTTCCAAGGATAGAACCGTTCGGTACCATGTCGTTTCGGAACGGTACAAAACGGTACGGTACAATGTCAAACACATGCTAAATTTTTTGAACAAATCTTGCAATTAGTAGATATCATCACATCAACCAAACTCACATGAAATGTTGAAATAAATACAAGAAATTGCATACATAGTACTAAAATTCACAAATACACAAATAGTGCAACACAACTAAGAAAATGTATAACAAAACGATGACGCACGAGATAAATATCATTTTTAATTTACTAAGTTCATGTGAAAATATAAAAACTAATATCATCTAATTGTTGAATATAATAGAAATCTTCAACATTCTTCTTCTTCGTTCTAGGTTAAATGTTACTCCGTAGTTCTAATTTAATTTATAGTTGAACCTTGAGAGCTAAGATTTAAACCATATTAATTAAGTTGTAAAAAAATGCACAAACATGATACAACAAAAAGTTATGTACACTACATTACTAGAAATAAATAATCATTAATGATTTCTAAAATTTTAATATTCTTTCAATACATACCAAAATATAACATAAATTATCTAAAAAGAAAAACTAACAATATATATATATATATATATATATATATATATATATATATATATATATATATATATATATATATATATATATATATATAACACATTTTAGATATCTTAGAGACACATGAATACATACTCAGGGTATAAAATTGTTGGTCTAGAACTATTGATATAGAAAAAATATAAAAAATTCAAATGCATTATTTACGAACGGTTCGGTCCGGTATTTTTCGGTTTTCAAAATCTAGGATCGGTCCCGTACCCGTTTCAAACGGTGCGATTTCGGTACGGAATAAAAATCTATAGAACCGTTTAAATACCTGATATTCAGTTCGGGTTTTATGTCCACGGCCCACCCCTAGGACTATTGGAAAGCTATCCGTGAGCCTTACCACTAAAAAGTAAAAACCAATCTGGTAACTTTAATTTACCCATTTTGTGGAAGAGTTTTCCAGAAGCTCACGAGCTCTCCACGTCTAGTGCGAGTTAAGCACCCAATTGAACGCTGCCACGCAAAAAACAACGATATCCATCCGTTAGATCATCCACGCTGGGACCAATAGCATGTAGATGAACTTGACACGCCGGACTGGGTCCTGCATCCTTCTTACTATATAATCCATTTCACTGATAATTCCCACCCCAAAATAGCATAGGCAACCGAGTGAGCAGAAATCGAGTCGCCGCCGGCAGCAATGAGGAAGTGGACGATCTCTTCCGTACTGTTTCTACTGTTCGTTCTATTTACTCTTCCGGATCAAGGTACGCCCAATTAAGAAATTAGAATGTATTCGGTCCGCAGAAGAGTTTGAGATATGGCGTGCGTGTTCTTTGTGTAGTCGCACCCTATTCTATTGTTAGAAGTGATCTTTCATACGGAAAAAATCGCCCCACATTGTTTAGATCTTCTACAACTTCAAGTCTCTAGTAATTCACTCTTAACCATATATGCATACTTGTTATATATGTACTCGAGAACTAGACTCTGTATGTTGTTAGATAATTACATTTTGGATCTCGCATTTTTACTTGCCAATTATTTTTCCCGTTTAAGCTGTATGACTCTTGTCTAAAACTGAAGTGTCTATTGTGATTAATCGCTTCCTTAGATAACTGCTTAATGTTGCCTTCCTGATATGTGACTTTTATGTAGGCCGGAAGATACATGCCAATGCAGAGGCTGAAGTTGATCCACAAGTGGATCTGCCTAAGGTAGAGGAAAAGATAGGTGCTGTTCCTCATGGTTTATCTACTGATTCTGATGTGGTGAAAAGGTTGGGCAATTGCACAGATTATTTCTTGTTTCAGCTTGTACTTTTCCTGTGTATTCAGTGTTACTTGAACTATTGTGTTCAGGGAAGCCGAGTCCATGTCAAAGAGGACGCTTCGAGCTAATGCAGAGAAATTTGAGTTCCAAGCTGAAGTTTCTCGACTTATGGACATCCTCATCAATTCCCTATACAGTAACAAAGATATTTTCTTGAGGGAGCTCATCTCCAATGCTTCAGATGTGTGTACACCTTCATAATGTTGTTGCTCTATGGAATGTATTAGATAAAAACTGTATTAACTTTGCACGTTTTGAAAATCAGGCATTGGATAAAATCAGATTCCTTTCTCTCACTGACAAGGATATATTGGGCGAGGGTGATGATGCTAAGCTTGAGATCCAGGTTGGACATTTGTTTTTGTATTAACAAAGCAATTACCGGTAAAACTAAATAGGGGTTCAAAAGTTGAGTTCCTCGTGGATGCTTTATATTGCAGATAAAATTGGATAAAGAAAAGAAAATTCTCTCGATTCGTGACCGAGGAATTGGGATGACAAAGGAGGATTTAATCAAGAACTTGGGAACCATTGCCAAGTCTGGAACATCGGGTATCTATTTTAGTACAAATATATTGCATGCAATTCACTGCTAGTTGCGTGCATTAGCCTCCCCATTGTTGTTAGAAAAGTTACATGGTTGTTTATATTTTGTTTCCTATAGCCTTTGTTGAGAAAATGCAGAAAAGTGGAGACCTTAACCTTATCGGACAGTTTGGTGTTGGGTTCTACTCTGTCTATCTTGTGGCTGACTATGTTGAAGTTATTAGCAAACACAACGATGACAAACAGTAAGTTCCATCATGATGTTTCTATACAGTTCAATGTGTGTGCCTGTGTTCTTGTGTGGTGCTATGAAGCATGTAAAAATGTTTCATCATTTTAGAATTTGAGAGGCATGTTTGAAACCTAAAACTTCAAATTCTATCTATGGGTCGATTCTCTAATTAAGAAGAATTAGAAAACATTATTTTCTTTAGGGTTTCATAAACTTAAGGTTTTCAAAAGTTTCGATTTGATAAGATATTTTTAACGAGAAGTAGTGCCTGTTATGGCAATTTTAGTGGTTTATGAAATAATGACCCCTATATTATCTATGATCTTTTGATTTCCAAAAATATGACTCATTCCATATATTCCAAAAAAGTGATTATCATTTTAAATGGAATCCCCTACCCTTTCATCCCTTAATTACAGACTAGGTATATGAGTATCGGTGTATCAAGCTATCAGCTACACCCACAAGCCGTAACCTACACTCCTCAACAACCAACACCATCCTCTTCTTCTCCTCCTTTCTTTCCGGTAAACCACACCACTGTTGAAGATTTGCAACATCTAGCCGACATGAGTCTTCTTCCTTGATTGCTGATGCGGTGGTCGATTGGTCGATTTTCACTATTATTTGAGTCATCGATCTATCTATTTGTGGCAGTTACGATGGCAGGGGCTATACTGTGCGGGGGTGCGGCATGTGTGCTCATGGTGGAGGTCGGGGGAATTGGGTCTACAGGTTGGAGAGGGGACGAGCAATGACAGTACCAGGGGAAGGGACAGGGGTTTGGAGGGGTAGACTGGCGGTTGTGGGAGGGTGTGAGCGGCAGTGACGGGGCGGGTGTTGTGGCGGGGATAGGGGACAGGTCAGATCCACGGTTTGGGGCTAGCCAGGGGACAACGGCGGTAGTAGGAGGGGGCTGGGGTACCTGGTGGTCAGTGGAGGCCGGTGTTCTTCACTGGCCGGTGACAAGCTTCGGTCGGGGTGGCGGCGACTGGATGAGGCGGTCACTACTTAGTGTAGTCAGTGCTGTGTAGTCAATGCCGGTGGAGTCACCAATGGTAGAGTCAATGCCGGTGGAGTCACCAATGGTGGAGTCACTGCTGGTGGAGTAACTGACAGTGAAGTCACTGTCGGTGGAGTCACTGCCGGGAGGAGTCATTGTCGGTGGAGTCACTAGAGCGGCGGCGGAATTGGTGATGGCGGTGGGGGTGATGGTGGTGATCGTTGGGGACGGTTTGGAGGATTTGATTAATTATTAATTATAAAAATGGATTATCACAATAATAAATGAAATATTAAATAAGGTCTTAAATGAGATGGCAAGTCATATTTTTGGAAAATTTAAAAACAAGTCACATTTATGAATCTGTTTTAGTAATATTGATTAAAAAAGGCCTTTATACTTTATATAGGATTTCATCACCACATTATCTTCTTTATGATATTTGATAGCATAATGAGATGGGATAAGGTATACTTACCTATTTATCTAAGAAAGATTATTGCATTCAATATGAATTAATATGTAATGTAATATGGGCTACTTACCTATTTATCTAAGCATTTTTATGTAATAATTTACATTATTTGATCATTATTATTAATTATTTCAAACAAGTATATGAAAAATAAGAATACAAACATTAAAAATGTATACACCATCATCATAAAAAATGTATACATATGTTTAAAAAATTATTTATAACTAGTAAATAATCCTTCCGCCCCACAAAACTTCACATTCATTGATTTTCTTGGGAAAATATTCTACAACAACATCCATGTGTTAGTCTCAAAAGAGATTGGGTTTGGCGGGGCAATGATGTTCCAAGTTTGAAAAAAATGATATTTTTGAATCTTTGCTAAAATACTTTAATATAAGCAGTGTTATCAATAGTGGATGGCGGTTCATGGCGGAAGGCCTACAAACCTTTATATAAATATATAGCGTACGGAGCTATGGTAAGTAGCGGAAGCATAGTGGATTATGTAAAATATTTTACATGTATAGTATATGGGGGTGTTTGGTTGATGGCCTATGAGCCATTTTTGGCTAATTTGACCACTTTTTGGCTTTTTGACCAAATAAACAGTTAATTAAGGTGTTTGGTTAATTGGCTTTTTCACTTAGCTTTTTGTCTCAAACAGCCAAAATTAAAAATGCTAATAAAAGTGTCATTTTGCTCTTGGCTGTTCCAGAATATACACGGTGTTCCTATTTTACCCAACCTCCCTCCGTTGTCTCTTGGTCGACTACTTTGACTTTCCCAACAAAAATACGTAGTAATCGTTAGTGAACTTTCTTCACCTAAAACATAAAATAAAGTGGTTCATAGATATAACATATAAGATAAATAACTAATTTTGAAATAAACAAAATCAAGCTTTAAAAAAACTCCAACTTGTACTAGATATTTAAGGCTTAGTTAGTGGATTCCACATGTATATTGATATTAGGTACAAGTATAAAAGTAGTGTGAAAAGTAGATTTTACCCAACGTTTCTCAATTTTGGTGGTCTTCTTTTACGATATATGTTTATATAAAGTAGTTGGAAAAAAAATTAATTGATGTCCTTAAAAGTCATTTTAATAAGTAATCAGCTGATTGTGAGCAATCACTTAACCAAACATCATTTTACAAACTGCTAATACTATCAGCTAATCAAAACAGCCAACAAGATTCGCCGTCATGAATCAGCCAACAGAATCAGCCAACATTCAACGGTCAATTTCCAAACACCCCCTATATATATATTTTTTTAAAGTCACATTAGATATTAGATATAATCACTAAACTAACTTAGTGGAATTGAGGTCGGCTAACATCAATCGACATATAATGGGAAAATTCCTAAAATAAGAGAAAACGTTTTGGAATTTCAAAATAGGATTGTCATGGTTTTAACTTTTTATCCCCTAAATTGGAGTAACTACTGTTTCGTTTGGAAAATACTGCAATGTTTAAAGTCTCATAATTCCAAAACATGTCGCAAATTACACCTATTTATCGAATAAAAACATGACAATCCTTTTGTGGAATTCACAAACGTTTTTACTCCTTTTTAAGACAATTTCCTACTTATAATCAGTAATGTAAAAAAATCTAGTAAATTTGAACTAAAATTTAGAACAAACCTATTCAACCACCAAAATTCAAAGTTGTGATATGCATGTATTTCATAAATGCTGTCTCCAGAAACTAGTAAACCACCAAACTTTATAGCTGTCCTACCTAAAAGAGTACAACAACATCCAAGCCTTATTTTCAAGAGATTTTGGGGTCGGCTAACATGAATCAATCCATGATATCGAAGCCAAAAAAAGGAAGAAAGATAAGAAGAATAAAAAGATAAAGTAAGATAAAATGGACAAGAGAAAATGAAATATAAGGTAAAAATAACATAAGAACATATGAAGATAAAGAAGATAAATAATTGAAGAAAAGGAGAGAGGAAAGAAAGAAAAGAGATCACTCATTCACACGAATTTGCGTCTTTCATTTTGCTCTCTCCAAACCCATACTTTCATCCAATACAAGAAGCAAATCAGTACTATCTTGGATGTTGTTGTTGGATGTTTGTTTCTATCTTTTGATTTTCCTTCATATTTTCTTTCCTTCACATTTTCCTCACTATTTCCTCCCTATTTTCTTTCATCAGTATTTTCCAATTTCCAGATGGACCCTTCAAGTATCTTGTTTCTTATTATGAATAATTAATCAAATATTTCTGCCTTCAGATATGTTTGGGAATCGAAGGCTGATGGAGCGTTTGCAATTTCTGAGGATGTTTGGAATGAGCCGCTTGGCCGTGGAACTGAAATCAGACTACACCTTAGGGATGAAGCTGGTGAATACTTGGACCAACACAAATTAAAGGTCAGTAGAGAAATGTTTATGGTCGTGGAATTCTTAATTAACTACCGTCTAAGATAAACAGATGCATTGGTTCTGTTTATGGAATATGTTTGTGGATTCTCTCTATGTGAGAATCTCAGGGACAGACAGTCCATTCCTTACTAATATTTCTAGTTATATAGCCAGGTTGGAAGATATGGAGAATTTACTTTTAATAGAATGGCCATTGTTTTTCACCTATATGCATCTTGGATGGAAACAAGAGACAAATTCTGTCTGTCCTGTTTTAAATAAATAATTATGCTGCCTTGTTACTGTGAATACCTATACTCGGTGCTTTCTCTGTAAGCTGAAAAATTTGTAACGTTCGAGTTAAAAAATCAGTTATGGGCTTCCTATTATATCTTGGACAAGAATTTATAAATTTTAAGAACAGTCATGGCTGCTTCTGACAGATAAATTCACTCACCTCTTTCACTGATCATTCCAAATTTTGATATCCTGAGCTATTAAATGAAAATATCAAATTCGGATTGGCCAAATTGATACTTCCTCCGTTCTTTAATTCTTGCAACATTGTGATTTTTGCACTATTCACAGACCCTACTTTGACTACGATTTTCTACTAATATACATAATCAAATTATTATGTATAAAATGTTACTCCCTCCGTTTCCAAAAGAAAGTCACGGTTTGACTTCACGATTATTAAGGAAATAAATTGACTTTACTGTACAAAACACTATTTAGACACTGTTTGGCACTGTTTGGCACTGTTTGGCACTGTTTGGATGTAGATTTCTTTGCCAAATAAGGAAATAAGAGAAGTGTGACTTTGTTTTTGAAACATCTCAAAAAGGAAAGTGTGAGTTTCTTTAGAAATGGAGGGAGTATTAAATTCCTATCAATGTGAATTTCCAAAATATCAAATTTGTATAATGTCTACTAATACATAATTAAATATAATTACAGTCAAAGTTGTGCGTTGGCAAACGTGAAAGTCAAACTATTGCAAGAATTAAAGAACGGAGGATAGTATTTTTTATTCGCATGATGTACAATGCCAGTCCTCCTTCACCTCATGGACTTCATTAAGTACTGTGATGTGATAAAGTTCAGTATAGTATTTACCTTTATATATATATATTTTTAAATATTTTCTTTCTATTTTCTACATTTGTAGGATTTGGTGAAAAAATATTCTGAGTTCATCAACTTCCCAATAAATCTATGGGCAAGCAGGGAGGTTGAGAAGGAGGTTCCAGAGGACGAAGATGATGCTGATGAAGAAGAAACATGTATGTGCTTAATTTGCTGCCAATCCTATAATATTTCTTATGTAATGCAGGCTAGTAGTATTTTGTTTTTGGTTAGTCAAATAATATTTGAGAAAATACCCCTTGTATGACCAAAACATTGTGTGTTTCCCAAACTATGACTTAAATCTTTTTTCTTTCCTAAAAGAATGCCAAATAGCATGTACCATACCACGGAGTGTTGCCTTTTTCTTATTTCATTCCATACATATTTAGTCATATATTTAGAAAGAAACATCCATGGCCATATTCTAGGAATTGGCATGAGTTTTACTCATATATAGGTATTTTCCCCTTAATATTTTCAAATCATGAATAGCTGAGACCAGCTCTTCCGAGGAAGAAACAGAAGATGAAGATTCTGAGAAAGATGGCGATGATAAAAAGGCAAAAATGAAGAAAGTGAAGGAAATCACCTATGAATGGGAGCTTTTGAATGATGTTAAAGCTATATGGCTTAGGAACCCTAAAGAGGTCACAGAGGAAGAATATACCAAATTCTACCATTCTCTAGCCAAGGTAAACAAAATCATCATAACACTTACTGGGATGATTCTGGGAGAAGATACTGTTAGAAGGCGCTATTAGCAGAAAAGTTTACATTCTTTTGATGACAGGATTTCAGTGACGAGAAGCCACTTGCATGGAGTCACTTCACTGCTGAAGGTGATGTGGAATTCAAGGCTGTCCTGTATATTCCACCTAAGGCGCCTCAAGATTTATATGAGAGCTATTATAACTCAAAGAAGTCCAACTTGAAGTTATATGTCAGGCGTGTCTTTATCTCAGACGAATTCGATGAACTGTTGCCCAAGTACTTGAACTTTTTGTTGGTAACTCATACGACATCTGAACTTTTCATTATTTGCATAAGGGTCCGTTTGGAACTAGGTTAATGCAATATAAGGAAATTGGGAGGATATTTGAGCGGAAATTTGGGAGGAAAGAAAATGGCGGGAAAATAAAAAACTGTTAAAGCCTTTAATGTCATTAAATAAAGTTAATATATAAATATACATTCAGACTTATATATGTCAATATGTGTGTGTATAAAAGGATTAAAAAATCTATATATTTGGAAATATATAGAAGGTTTTAATCAAATTTGATTTTCTTCATATTTTCCAATATTTATCAAGACATAAACTTATCATCTTTGATCTTCAGTTCTTCACTGAGACTTTCCCTGTCCCTACCATTTACCTAGTTCGAAAGATAACCTAAAAGGGTTGCTGCAGATATTGTTGGCAACCTGATAACTGTTGGTATTTTTCCAGGGCCTTGTCGATTCTGACACACTGCCATTGAACGTCTCAAGAGAAATGCTCCAACAGCACAGCAGCTTAAAAACAATCAAGAAGAAACTCATACGTAAGGCCCTTGACATGATCCGCAGACTCGCTGAAGAGGATCCAGATGAGCATAGTGACAAGGATAAAAAAGGTGGTTCTTTTCTAATGTTATATTCCCTTGGTTTATGTTTGGGACTCACAATATGGTAGGGAAAGACAGTTGATAAGGAAAATGATTTTTATGTTTGCTTTCATCAGAAAATACATTAAGGAATATTCATTAAAGAAGATTTTGCTTATTTCTAAATCAATTAAAGGAGTTCAAACTTGCATCTAAAAGACATTTGTGGTTATCTTTTTAGCTAATTATCCCCCCCCCCCCCCCCCACACACACACACTTTTGTTTCCCTACAAATCTGTGTGAGTTCAAACTGACCTTTACATATCAATATGGAGGGTTGGTTTTTGGATGACCAACTGTATATCTTGATATGCATTTCAGACTATAAAATAAAATTGAAAGAATGACATAATATTTGTTCATATAATATTTCAATCACCCATTGCTCGATTTTAGGAACATTCCCCATCAAGATACAAATCAAGCTGCTCAAAAACCCTATATCCAAACTGAACCTTAGGGTGACTATTATTTATTTTGATTTTGATATCTAATTACATGTTCCAACAGATGTTGAGGAATCTGGAAGTGATGATAAGAATAAGAAAGGGCAGTATGCAAAATTCTGGAATGAGTTTGGCAAGTCCATAAAGCTTGGAATTATAGAGGACGCAACTAACAGGAACCGATTGGCTAAACTTCTTCGTGTTGAGACGTATGTGCTCCTAGCTTTCGTAATATTTTTATTTTGCACCTTCATATTAAAACCAAAGCATTCCTTCATGACTGGCTGCTTTCTTCTTTTACTGTTTTCAGCACAAAATCAGATGGCAAACTTACCTCACTAGATCAATACATCTCAAGGATGAAAGCTGGCCAGAAAGACATCTTCTACATTACAGGAACAAGCAAAGAGCAGTTGGAAAAATCTCCGTTCCTCGAGAGACTAAAAAAGAAAAATTTTGAGGTAAATAAATAGCCATAGATAGCTTCTTAAGAAGGAAATGCTGAAGACAGTTGCCTGTTGGTATGGCTCATAAAAAGCACTTTGTTTTAATAAAAAAAGCTTCACTCTTGTGGTTGTTGTTTAGAGAAGTTATTGAATCCTTCAAAACAAAACAAAAGAAGAATTTCACTCCCCATAAGTGTAAAAGTATTAGAAGGGGAGCATGGTGCATCCGTAGAGTGTTGAAAGTCTTGGAAACAACCTCTTTTAAATGGACTCTTTTAAAATGACAAGTTAAGGCTTTTTCCTTGTACAACACTTTTGTGGTGGCGACCTTCCCCCCGACCCTCTTGGCCTCACCGTGCACTAGGCTGTCCTTTAATAACATAGATGTATTGGTTATTTGGTTTGGAAATTTGGAAAAAATGATTTTCCGTATTTTATATGTTCACCCAATCTCCCTCTATTTAATTTCATCCTCTATAAAAATGATTTATCAGTTTAAACATCCCTCTTTCCCTTCATCCTCCATTTTTTTTTGTAATTAAAATACATTGGTGCAGGTCATTTTCTTCACAGACCCCGTGGATGAATACCTGATGCAGTACCTGATGGATTACGAAGACAAGAAATTCCAAAATGTATCCAAAGAGGGCCTGAAGATTAAGGACTCCAAAGACAAAGAGCTAAAGGAGTCATTTAAAGAGTTGACCAAGTGGTGGAAAACCACGTTGGCTAGTAGCGACAATGTTGATGACGTGAAAATCAGCAACCGTCTGGCAGATACGCCATGTGTGGTAGTGACTTCCAAGTATGGCTGGAGTGCGAACATGGAGAGAATCATGCAATCTCAAACACTGTCGGATGCTAGCAAGCAGGCGTATATGCGGGGCAAGAGAGTTCTTGAGATCAACGCTCGCCACCCCATCATCAAGGAGATCCGTGAAAGAGTAGTGAAGGACCCTGAGGTAAGATGGGAGATGTCACTCAATGTGTTCCAAGTATCTCCAGCCAGATTGATTGAACTAAAATTGATATTTTATTATGTTTTCCTTTTGACAGGACGAGGGTGTGAAGGAAACGGCACAACTAATGTACCAAACAGCACTAATGGAGAGTGGGTTCATGCTGAATGACCCAAAGGACTTCGCCTCACGTATCTACAACTCTGTGAAGTCAGGTCTAAACATTAGCCCTGATGCGGAGGTTGAGGAAGAACAAGAAGTCGAAGATGCGCAAGAAACTGAGTCTACCACCACCAGTGGGGCATCTGAAGAAGAACAAGCGGTTGGTGGAATCAAAGATGAGTTATAGATTGTTATTTTCCGCGGGAGGAATTTGAGTCGGTTTTATTTTCACTTATTTAGTTTAACAGAGGGAGGCTGTGGCTCATTATAGGTCGATACACTGTAACAGTGTTAACTCGTGAACATCTTTTTGTCATTTGTTTGTAGTTTCTTTTTCCAGTTGTGGTTGTGTCAGTGTGTTCGACACTGCTTAGTTTTTGTGCAATACTCTATGTGTTAGTTCTACGTTTTTTCAGGCAGTCAATTCACTCAATTGCCTCATTATCTTGTCCTGTTTGGTCATGATCAGGGATGGATATAGGAGGTGTGGAGTGTGACTGACCATTGGGATTTCAAAATTTTGTATTATATAGGTAATATTTTAATACTCTAAGTAGAAATATTTGTATTAGCCCCCTTATTTTTAGTTTTCAAAATTAATTTATAATATCATATACTTCTATTTTCATTACATTAACATTGGGACATAAAGAAGTGGTGTAGTTGTTGGTCCCGGTTAACTGGGTACAGTCTAGACTCTAGAGAGGGGGTGAATAGACTGTACTAGGGATGGATTTGGTTCGGGCCACCCGGCCCGTGACCCGGCCCGGACCGGTACTGTGTGGGCCCGGGACCGGCCCGGTCGGGCGTTCCGGGACCGGGTATGGACCCGAACCGATGGGAAGGGGCGGGGCGGGCTCGGTTTTGGATTATTGTGACCCGGCCCGGCCGGGTCGGGTCCGGGTCTATCTTTTTAATTTTTTTTTTTGGTTTGGGGCTCCTACTAGCCGTTGGGGGTGGGGCTGGGGACAACCCAAACGGCTATATAGCCGTTGGGTGGGGTAAAGGGGGGGGAGGAGGGTCGGGGGGGGGGGGGGGGTTGGCTGGTGGGGGGTAAAAAAACCTATAAATACTCCTAATCTTAAACATTTTTTCATCTCTTCTCCAATTCTTCCTAAATCCTATTCTTAACTCTCTACTCTTTAATTCTCTTATTCTCCAATATATTATACTTCCTCCGTTCCATAAAAGTTGCAACATTGGAATTTCTGCACTATTCACACACCTTACTTTGACTACGATTTTCTAATAATATATATAATAAAAATATTATGTATAAAATATTAATAAATTTGTATTAATGTAAATTTCCAATATATTAACTTTTTTTAATGTTTACTAATACGTAAATAAATATAATTACAGTCAAGATGCCATTATATGGAACGGAGGATAGTATTTATTATTTATATATCTACTTTATAGTTTATACTTAAGAAGTTAAGATGGAAAATCAAGATGCCATTATACGGTATAATTTTGATAAGCAGAAGGACCCGAAGACCGGGATGTGGTACGCAATTTGCAAATGGTGCGAGAAAAAATGTAGCATGGGGGCTTCAGGCGGATTCGGGATGACAATCAAGCATATGAAGTCATGTGACAAAGGTCACAAAGCCAAAGGATCGGGAGGTGCGGGAAGTTCCGATTGATTACAATTTTCAAAATGTTTATCTCTTAAAGTTTGTTTTAATTTTCAAATGTAGTTCCTATTTCATTTCAAATAAATGCAATTGAAGTTTGTTTTTAATACTCGTATAAAACTATAAAGTATAAACTATAAAATATAAATTATATATAAAAAAAATTAACCGGCCCGGCCCGAACCAGACCCGACCCGTGACCCGGGCGGGTGGCCCGGCCCGAACCGGACCCGTCCAACCCTCGGGCCGGTCCCGGGCCCACTACTCTTGAACCGGCGGCCCGACCCGGCCCGAATCCATCCCTAGACTGTACTGGTTTTTTATTTTTTCAAGCTAAGTACCAGATTTTAACAGAATAGCCTATTCTTTTGGTAAAACAGACTGACAGCGGATGGTATTCTGGTAGGGGTTCTGTCCGGTCAGCCTCAAAGAAGCAAAGGCAGTAGGCCTTCTGTTAACTCACAGGACATGTTTTGCTAAACATAGAGAGTCAGAGACCAAGTTTCTGGAGTTAGACAGTTCAAAGTAAATGCAAGAATTAAATGCAGCAAGTAAAAGACACCAGAGATTTTTATAGTGGTTCAAGGAACAACTTGTTCCTCTAATCCATTGTTCCACTAAGCTTGTATAAGCAACAATTTACAACGCCTTAGTCCTAGCACTTAAGAAGCTCTCCACGTCTTCTTCAAGTCTAGATGTTTCCTAGGATGCACTTCCTGGCTTCCTTTAAAACTGGTCCTTTCACTGAGCTTCCTTGAAGTATAACCACTTCACTACTCCAGCTATTTAGACGCCCTTCTCATTCGAGAAGAGTTCTTTTAAGAACAGAGGTTTTCCAACTTGCTTCGTCACAAAGGATATGTTGATGAAGTGTTTGAAGTGTTGAAGAACAATTGAAATTTTTGCTCTTGTTGGAAACTTGGAATGTGAAGATATGAAAAAGTTATCTTTCCAATTGAAGCTTATCTTGTTTGAGATGTTGAAGTTCTGGTTTCAAGAAAGCTTGTTGTTTGAATAGGTTGTTAAGAGTTGTGCAAAAGTTCTTGCTTGTTGTTATTCGAGTAGTATCTTTTATACTTGAGTTGTCTTCCCGTTGGAGGAGGAGGACAACTACATTAAATGCGCGAACAATTGACTTGACCAGTAGGACCCGGTAAAGTTGGCGAGTTGCTATTTTGGGACAAAGATATCTTGAAATATCGGCCAATCATCATCTTTTACTCTTCAGCGTACGGGGCTCATTAAATGAACATTTAATGTGCGTACTTTACCTTTTCCGTTGAAGTCTTCTAGCCGTTGAAGGAATCTTCCGTTGGTTTCACCGGCTAAGTTAGGTTCATGGAAATTCTATAAGTGTCAGACTTTCTGGTATCTTTAGAAAAGAACCAACCAGAGAGGGTCTTGAGCACTTCTGTTGGGATAAAAGCTACCAGAGGGTCTCTAGTTCTTCTGTCACGGTAGGAGCTAACAGAGGGTCTTGACAGCTTCTGTTCTAGTGACGTCCAACAGAGAACTAGGAGGTCCTCTGTCCACGAAGTGAAGCAACAGAGAGCCAAAAGGTCTTTTGTCTGGACAAGGTCTAATAGGCACACAGAAGGTCTTCTGTCAGTCGACTATACTAAGAAAACTTTACACAAAGAAAAATTCTAATACAAATTTCTAAAGAGGGGTATTCTAAAATCCTAATTAATATAGCATCATCAAAATCTAATTACAATCATTCCTTACAATTTCTCTCTTTTTGATGATGCCAAAAACCCTTAAACTATTTTCAGAGAAGTGTCTTTCACCAAAAAAGTTAAAACTTTCATTAAAATTCTTGGAAGGCAACTTGGCATAGGATATTAGTAAGAGTAAGAGTACAATCAAGATAGAACACAATAAATGAGAACACATAAAAGCAAACACCAAAAAGAAAATAACAGAAAGTAAATAGCAAGGAACAGATAGGGAGTAATTGCCTTACAATATGAAAGGCAGAGACGTGGTTTTATTAAAGGAAAGTTTATAGATTTGTTCTTTTACACATTCTCCCTTGCAGCTGCAGCCATAGGTTGATTATCCAATGTTTGTAGCCTTTGAAGCTCTACATTGACTTCTTTTCTAATTCCTGTGAGGTTCCCAGATCTTTGATAATATGCCCAGATAGGTGAGAGCTTGCAGTCCAGATAACTAAGGACACCTTCATGAATGTCCTTCCCTGGAAGAATTTTATTGAGATACCAAAATTCTGCTTCTTCCAAAGATTCGCCACATCTGACTTTCACAAGGCCATCTTTGTCAAGATATAGGTTCTGCTGCTGAGTAGGAGTCATCTTTTGCTTCATTTCTTCAAACTGGGATCTATCAATCCTCTGAGATCCACCTAGTCTCCAATCAATGAAATTCAGGGCCTTCTTCTTCTTGGTGGCCTTCTTATGGGGAGATCGGGGTCTAGGTAATCCAGCAGCTCTTTTCTTTTGAATAGCAGCCTCAAAATATGATGTGGGATCAACAGACGAGGATGCTCTAGCAGGGATTCTGGGGGGTCGAAGTTTGAGGGGTTGAGAGTCTTCTTCTTCCCCCTTTTTGGCATCATTCAAGTCAGCTATCAACAGGCTGAGTTTCTGAAATTATGATGTTTGAGAAGTTGCAAGCTGTTCAAAGGTCTCTGGTAGTGTTTGAGTGATAGAAGTGAGGTCTTCTATCAGCCTTTGTTGTTTCTGGATAGCAGAAGATATATCATTGGTGTTGGCTTCTAGTAACACCATCTTCTGATATCTCTCTTTGTCAGAAGCAAAGAGGGTTCTAATCCGATCTCAGTGAACTTTGCAGAGTTCCTCTATGTCTTGTAGTTGCTCTTTAGTCTTCGTATCAGCCCATTGAAGTTGGTCAATAGTGTCAGATATGTTTGTGATCACTTGAGCTTGAGAATTGAGAGTCTGATGCAGGGAATATAATACAGAGTTGATACCATCTACTTCTGTAGAGAGGGCATCAGTCTTTGTAGTTGAAGTTTTCATGAAATCTTCCAGCGAGGCTTTCAAATCAGCAAAGCTTTCAGAGATGAATTGCATACCAGAGTTGAAGTTTTCATTTATATGAGACAGGTGCTCATCATGACTCTGGTTGACCATAATCAGCTTCTTCATCCCATCTACCAGTTGTCCTCCAAAATCTTCTGCAACTTCAACAAACCGGTTGAATGGGATCTGTGGTTCACCTTCCTCGAAGTTTGGCATTCCCAATCCTCTTGCTTTAGGCATAGGAGGTCTTCTGGGAACATGCTCTTGAACAGATGAGAGAAGCTCATGCTCAAGTTGTGTAAGAGGGGGAGTCTTCTCCCTTTTGAAGGTAGCCTGGTTGGGGTTACTGACAATGAATCCGTCCATATTTGAAGAGTCTTCATAAAAGGAGTAAATGAGGATTCTGTCTCTGACCACCTGCTGTTTTCTGCAAAAGACGGTTTGGAAGCAGAGGAGTGTCGGGAGTAACCATGGGGTGCAGGAATAGGAGAGACAGTTGGGGGATCTTGAAGGTTTGTAATGAGGTTCTGGGGCTGAGTTGGTTTCTGTTGAGGTGGAGTAGCAGATTTGGTATGCTGTTGAGAGTGTTGAGGTGAGGGGGTTTTCTGCTGTGGGATTTGTTGAGGTTGGGTTCTCTGGTGTTGGGGAGAGGGAGGAGGAGAAGGGGATCTGTTTCTGTTGAGGGTGAATTGTTTGCAGGGTGAGGGTGATTTGGATTTCTTGGGAGATGATTCAGGTTGTGATGGGGTTTTCTGTTTGGAGGGGGAGTTTTGTTGGGGGGGGGGGGGGAAGGAGATTTATGCTTAGATGGAGATTGGGGAGGAGGGGAGTAAGGTGTTGCAAGCTTAGGTGAGGGGGCTTTCTGTATGGAGGGTGATCTGTGAG